GGCTCTGCATGGCATTTCAAAGTGGCAGCACAGCATGGAGCCCAGGGGAGGGAGGGACTCTGAGTTCCCAGCTGACCCTGGGCTCCATGAGGCGCTTCCACTTTGAAATGCACAAGAGCCCCCACTGGAGACTCTAGTACATTTCAAAGCTGGCACCCACGTGCAGCCCAGAGTCAGGGGCACTTGTACATTTCAAAGGAGGAATGCAGAAGTGCCTATTGATTAGCTGAGTAGTCGATGGACTACTCAACTAGTAAATTAACTGATATTTAACATCCTTAGTTCTGGTGCTCCCCCTAGCACAGCAGTCAAAGGAAAAATACTGCTCACTCGTTACAGGCCCAAGCTAAACCATGCTCAGTGCAAATAGATTCTTCAGCATTGTTAGCTGCTAAACTAACGAGTCTCTAGAAATCACTTGTGAACTGAGATCTTTTTCAAAGTCTCATCATTTGACCAATTAGGGGAAATTGCCATGCAAACAGTAAAAGGCCCCTCCCTGCATGCCAAATTTCAATAACTTGCCCAAAGAATGGAGGCAATAGAGCTTTTCAATGAAATAGCTGGACAGTTTTTTAAAGTGGTCAAAACAATGCATTTTCCCATGGGCGTCCAGTCTAATAGGTGGGGAAAGGCACAGCCTTCCCAAACCACCAGCCTGGCCCTTCCACACTCCGCCCCCAGAATGCCTATTGTAGGCATTCTGGAGGCAGTCCAGGTGTGCCTGGCCTGGGGGGCTGGAGCCACATGCCACCCATCTTCCCTGTGCTCTGGGGCCAGGGAGGCTGGGGGTGCACACTCTCCTCCCTCCCATGGCCTGGGGCTGGGGAGGCTGGGGCCACTTGCTCTCCTCCATCCATGGCCAGGGAGGGGCCTCAGTGGAAGGGGCAGGGCTGGGTTGGAGCTGAGGGCTTGCCTTCCCCAGCCCTGCTTTCACTGATGTCCATACATTTTCCCTAATCTTGTGCTTGGAAATGGCTGAAGTATTTTAACTGGCAGGCACTTGGCATGGCAAACCTCAGCCCGAATGGAGAAATCTTATAAGCAACTGAAAACAGAGCCTTTATAATGAAAAGGTCAGGCTTTTTCAAGGATAGCTCCATGTGTAGCAGCCCAAATCTGCAGTTAGTTGCATGCTGCTATACCACATTAGAACAAATTCTTCACTGCCTTATGTGCTCTGGACACAGAAGTACACAGAGATAATAACGGACAGCAGCAGAATTTGGCCTAATGCACAAGTGCAGACCCACCGACAGGGAAGGAGGGGGAGTTGTC